TTTATTTTGATATTTATACCTTTGACTTTTAAATAAGCAAAACAGTTTTTCTCAGGAAATAGTTATTCTCAATTAAGGACTCGCTGGTATTAGAAAAAATCCATAGGAACCACCTAAGTATATAATGTCAACAGGAAAAATGCAATGAACTCTTAAGGCAGGGAAGAAAGACCTCAGTCATATGCAGTGAGGGGTAACGCAAAGAACTCAAGCCTTGGAGTAAATGTCACATTCAAGCAAGAGCTGATGAAGACTGAGCAAGCTAGTTAACCTCACACAGCAGTAATTTCTTCATCTATAAAATGGGAATAATAATAATAATTGTGACAAAACTTATGACAGTAAAAAGAGATAGAGGTTCAAAACACTTTTTAAAAAAAAAACTATTTTATCTAACCAAAAATTCATGGTACTTGCACAAGACATTGCACCAAATTCATGGTACTTGCACAATCCTTTTTATCACCGCTGTCACCTGCTGTGGTGGTCATTATGCTGGCAACCAAGTCTTTCATGCTTCTCCCAAGCACGCAGTACACTTGCACTTTCTTGCTCTCTTGAATGTAGATTGAGTTAGCCATGTGATTTGTTTTAGCCTAGCAGAACTGAGTAGCAGTAATGTGTTGCTTTCAAACTGAAGCTTCAGAGTTTGCCTCACACCCTTTCTATGAGGGCAGCAGACTGTTCCCAGCAGAGACCAATTTGGGGTTCAGAGTAGGAATGATAGCAAAATTCACAGAAGACAAGTGACTGACAAACAACTATTGCGCTTTATGCTATATGATTTTTAGGCCTTTGGTTACCATAGTCCATCTTCTATGCTCCTGACTTTAAGTAACATATGCCAGCATTTTATTAATTCATTCCACAGATACATGTTGAACAAATGCCAAGCATAGTGATGCTGCCTGAAATGCATGGACTGATTCTTTGCCTCAAGGGGAACAGTTGGGGTTGCAGCTGGTACTCCTAAAAGGATTCCCAGCTGGTTCTGATGTTTGCTAGCGTCAAGGTTGGGAAATGCTGCTTTTGTGGACAATGAATCCTTTGCATGCAGCCCAACTGCCTGTAGTTTTTGATAACAGAGAAGCTAGAGACTCTAATAAAAGACCTACAGAAAGGTGATGTATCTGGGAAGAAGAAAGAGACAGTTAAACTGACAAAGTAAAATCTCAATACTTCATCTTGTTCCTGTGTTGACCACAATTTACTAGGGTTTTTTTTTTTTTCTTTTAGACCAACTGTCAAGTAAAAAGCAACTTAAAATTACTAATCATTGCTATAATTCCTAGAGCCATTTACTTTTAAAGAAATCCTGAAGTTGTAAAATAAATAGCCAAAGTAATGGGTGTCTAATTATGCAACTACAGGCACCGTGCCACATGAGGCTGCCACTTCAGTCAGGGGCAAAGGATCTTCCCAACCTACTTTAAATCATGCCATTCTCTACTTGTATGTGAAAATGATGCTCATCCTTAGTACCCTTTAGCAGTTTTTCACATTTTAGCTTAAGTGTGACCCATGCTTCTTAAAATTCTTTGTCAATTTTTGAATGGCTCCTTACCATACTTAACCTATAATTATCAACAACTCCCACAAACTGTATATTCAAGTAGTCATCCAGTAGGAAGCTAACTAATAGTTATATTTATGCAGATACCTAACACAAATAAAGAGGTTACTTCTTAATAACAATGTAAACAAAGAGACCCATTGTTTACTTAAATCTTTTAGCAGAGAAATTGGTCAGTGCTACTGTTCAAAACTTATCATTTGGTAGTAGAACATTTTCTCATGTGTCACCCTTTTCTTTGTACCTAGACAATGAGGTCTGTGGATCTGGGAAACCTATGGGGGTTCTTCAGCTCTGTTTCAGGGGTGTGTGACTTGGACAAAGGGCAGCCCACACCTTTTTCACACTACAGTGAGGACAGTGCCAGCCTTCTCCACTGTCTTGGCAGTTGACTGCCAAGTTCTTGATTAACTGCCAAATCTTCAGCCCAGTGTAGATCTCATAAAGATGCTTTAAAACTGTATGTCAGATACTGCTAGTTGCCCCTTCAACACTTATTTCTTCTTTATTATTAGCAATACCCTAATATTCTAAAAGGTGATCATGAGCCCAGAGTGATTATATCCCCCTGCCACTAGGGATGACCAGGTGACCAAGTTGTGGCCAGGAAATGCAGGTGACATTTTGACAGCATCTCTTCCTAAACAAAAAAGTAAGCAAGTTTTTTGCTTTCCACTCTTCAATATTTCTCTTTTTCCTACCTGAAACACAGACATGATACCTAAAAGAGGCAACTATTTGTACCCTGGAGGATATGAGCCATTCATTAAGAAGACACAGCAAAAGATCTTGGTTTTCGGAAGCATCATGAAGCTACTGTACAAACACTTGGCTGGACAGTGGATTTTTATTTTTTATTTTTTTGGTACCAGGGATCGAACTCATGACCTCACACATGCCAAGCAGGTTCTTATGCCACTGAGCTAAATCCCCGGCCTGAGTTTATATTTCTTACATGAGAAAAATTTGTCTAGCTTGGTTAGTCACTAATGGTCAAAAGCAAGCTCCAACCAACAAAATTTGCAGATTCATAAGCTCTTTGTTCTCTGCCTTTGCACTGTTCATCAAGTGGAGATTGGGCTCATATCTGGGTTGGCATGAGCAGAAAAATCATGATAAAGATCCAGGTAGGAGGGAGTATGACATAGTCACAGGTAATATATAAAAATATAATCATTTTTAAAGCAGAATCTCATAAAAGATATCTTATTTTCCCCTAAATACCCAAAGGAATCTTTCCCTTAGAAAGACTCACATTGTCAACCCGGAAAAGGAAAGACAAATGCAGGGTAAGAGTAACACCTAATTAAGTTCCTCAAGTCTATTGTGTATAGAAAATGCAAAATGCATGTTGTTTTTGGTTTTTTTTTGTAAAACAATTTTCAAAATAAAGACTGGTTCCCTCTCAACCATCAACAGTTATCAATCTGTTGAGCTGTTTTTGGAAACTTTGAACTAGATGGTTTGGGAAGACCTGCAATTATCCTTTTATTAAAGCTGGAACTGGCTGGTCTTTAGTCAACAGGAACCCATTTGGAGTGTTTCCAGAGTCTTTTCCACAGGCTCCTAGAAGTGGTTGATAGCTACTTTGCCTTCTGTAAATATTTATGGGTAAGATGACGGGAAGGCTGAATTTTGCTTAAAGACGATGATACGAAGAAAGTGGGTAGGTATAAGGCATGACTGATCATGAGTTGGTTATTTCACAAGCTGGTGATGGCCTGTGAGAGGTTTGTTGTACTATTTTCTTACCTTTGTATCTTTACATTGTCCAAAATAAAAAGTAAAGATAAAAACGTTGAGCCAAGTCAAAAAAGGGACTTGAAATCCTTAACAAAATAATAGTCTCGAATGCCTGGACTTGTCGGGGAGAAAGCTGCGTGGTGCCAAGCGCTGAAGACGACATTTGATTTGGCAACAGCAAGCCCCTGAGGTCTGAGAGCGCCCTGTATCATTGGTAGCAAGCCTGGGATGTGACCCACATTGCCCATCCTCGGGAGGGCAAGAAGAAGCCTTTTGTCATGGGCTGAAGAAGAGGACAGACTATAAGAGTGGAAGACAGTGGAACAGAGGTAAGGAGAGAGGACGATGTGTAGGGGCCCCCAAAAGCTTGTGGTGGGGGATCTCTCCACAGGGTTGGTTAGGAGCGTTTTCTTCAGCCACTGGTTTGTATCATCTCCTACTCTTTGGCTGCAGTTCTCTGACCCCTAAACAGGTCTCACTCAGTTTCTCCTGACCAAGGGAATCTTGCTTTGCAGACAGGGCAGAAAGAAGCACTGAGCCTAGGGTCCGAGGCAAAATCTGAACCTTTTCAGTGATTGGACAGGACCTGTGCCTTGGATGTCAGGCACAAGAAAGGTCTGCCTGCCTGTCTAAAGACCCTTCAGTGTTGCAACCACACGAACCTGAGACTCCAGGAACCAGGACCCTAGCAGCCTGCCCAGGGCTTGTGTGCCTTTCCGATAACCATCTTTTCTTCCATTACGCGTTAAGTGACTTCCAGAGAAAGACGCAACCACTACACGTTTTGCAGCTAATTGGAGAGGAGGTGCCCAGCATAGATGACCCCAAAGTTTACAGCACTTTCAGATTCGGCCATTCGACGCGTCACCGACCTATAGGATTTCTCCTGGCTGCCCTTGCTCGCCTGCAAATCCTGACCCCTTTCCCCACTGCGGAGAAATCTCCCGGGAGGCGGGCGTCGCCTCTGCGCGCGGGAGGCGTGGAGCAGAGCCCTGGCGAAGGCGCGGAGCGCGCTGCAGCCCCGCTCCCCGCGCACGGCCGAGAGGGAGGGGCCGGCGGCCCGCAGCGCCAGACGCGGAGCCCGGCTCGCGGCGGCTCAGTCTCCTCCGCGCCCGGCCCGGCTGGTGCGAGCAGCGGCCGGCGCACGCCGGAGCCCGGGCCTCGGAGGGGAGGCGGAGGGCCAGAGGCGGCTGCGGACCGAGCAGCGGGCCGCGCTCGGGCCCCGGGAGCGCGAGTCCTCCCTTCGGAGCCTGGTAAGCGCGAGCGGCTGCGTCCCGCGGGTCACCGGCTGGGCTGGCCGCGGGGATTGTGGTCCCCAGAACCAGCTTGCGCGCATCTCACTGCTGCGCTGCAGGCGCACAGGTGGCCCCGCGGTGGCTGCGGGCACCCCAGGCCCGCCTAGGAGTTGGCCAACTCTCTCTGCTCCGAGACGCGTTTTCCGAGCCCACCCGCTTTGCTCCACCCTTCTTTCTGGCCCGGGGAGGGGGTGAGGGGCAGGGCCTCACTTGGAGGGAGGAATGTGCAGAGGGAAGTCCCCCTTCCGCGACCGGAGAGATGGGAGCCAACCAAATGCACCCCAGAGTGCTGGTGAGTTGTATACCCTTTAGTTTTTTTTTTAAATTTTCCTATTAACCCACGAGGGAAAGTTTAGGACCAGGCAAGGCAAAGTTGGGGCGCGGCTGGCGGCTCACTTCGCCCTGGAGGGTAGATCGCTTAGAGTGGAGCGGTGAGTGTGCAGAGGGAGCCCAGCTCCGATGCAGCTGGTGCGGCACCCCAGGAGTGAGCCTGTCCCTGCCGGCAGCCCGGGCCAGCACTGTGACAGTCCCCAGAGCTGTGAGTCGCTTAATCTTTGATGTTGAGCATAGACATCCGCAGCCAGCCGGGAACCTGATGGGTCTGGGTTATCTCTGGAGTAGCAACCATTCAGCCTGGATTGACTGGTACTCTTGCTCTGCTCTGAAAACCTGAGCTCCAGCTAATCCCAGGTTTTAAGTGGTGTGTGTTTAATTAGCTTATTTTACACCTGAGATGATCTCGGTGAATGCCTCTAAAATGAAATCACTGATCCAGGAAAAGATGTTTTTAAAGAATAATTAAAAAGAGGATCCCTCACTGGATCAGCTCTCATATCTGGTTATTTTATCAATTTTTCCGTGGAATCAAGAATGAAAATCCTGCTTAGATATCTAACCTATGAAAGAATCAGTGTTGGGGTTGTTTGAGGCAGATTTTTGTGGACAGAGGAATAGCTGTTTTTGCGTATTGTTTATGAAATACCCTACTTCTTATTTGACTGCATTAGGATTGTTTGTTTAAGCTATTTTAAACAGACTAAGGTTTTTTTTTTTCTTAAAGCCTGTAGCGGAAAACAACATATAAATGTTTTAAGAAAACAGATTGTTCATGCTACCAGAATATTTTTTTGCAAACTTAAATTTTTAAAGGGCTACTTTTCTGCATCTCATACAGGAGAGATTTTCACATGAAAGAGAAGATCCTGAGACCACTGTACCTCAAACTTAACCCTTTCCAAATAACAGGTTAAGTCAGAAAAGTGTGTGCACCATAGAGAATTATGTAATTGGACTAGAAGAAAACAGGGAGTAATTGTCACTTGTCAAGAACCTAGATATATCTGAAAGAAGTGGGATCTTTTTAGCACTGGAAAACGTTGTTGCATGATTTAAGGTGAATTAACTGATTTTCATCTATAAATTTTTATACTTATGCACATCTCCATTTTTATATCTAACATTGGATTTACCAAAATGGTTGTTTGGGCTTATACATGACTAATTTTAAGTACCTACCATTTGTCACTTCCTACATCTCTTGTAGCTCACCTTAAAGCAATCCTGTGGGGCTAAGGATGTAGCTCAGCAGTGCTAAGCTTGCTAAGCCAAGCTTGAGGCAAGGTGGAGCACTTGCTACAGTCTACCTCCAGCACTGGGAAAGAGGAAAAATAAAAGCAACCTGGATGTTAGACTGTAATTGTCCCTGTGTTTTAAAATGAGGAAACAGAGGCAGAGAAGAGTTATGTAATTTCCCTTGACTGCAGGACAAAACTGTCTCATATCTGTGAAGTTCCATATATATATATATATATATATATTTATTTATGATTCGTATGATTTACCTACTCTCATTTTTACTTTTATTTTAGCATAAATGCTGAAAATTTCCCTTGAAGCCTAAGAAGCCCTGATTGTGGAAGTGCCCCACAAACACTGTTAACCATAAAGTAAGGAAGAGCATGACCGAGCTGTCTGCTTGAGTCTGAACTTTGAAGAGCACCGTGTCCACCGAAATACACAGGATGGATCTGCACCCAAACAGCACCATCAGTCTCCTTGAGAAATGGTGTTCAGAGGCATCACTGCCTGGCTGCAGGAGGCAGCGTAATATGAGGAAAAAACTGAAGTTAATTCGCATTTTAGGCCTTTTCATGGGCCTGGTAGCCATTAGCACTGTTCCGTTTTCAATCAGTGCCTTTTCTGAGACAGACACGCAGAGCAAAGGAGAGGCCAGGGTTGTCAGTGGCCCTAGTGTAGCACACAGTTACCATCAAAGGACACTCTTAGATTTAAAGGATAAGATCTGGGATTACACTTCACAGCCACCTCTTTCCCAGGAAGGCAAATCTGAGAACAGTACAGATCATGCCCAAGGGGACTACCCTAAAGATATCTTTTCCCTTGAGGAGCGAAGAAAAGGCGCCATTATTCTCCATGTTATAGGAATGATCTACATGTTCATAGCCTTAGCCATCGTGTGTGATGAGTTCTTTGTTCCCTCTTTGACCGTCATCACTGAAAAACTCGGCATCTCTGATGATGTGGCTGGAGCCACCTTTATGGCTGCGGGGGGCTCAGCCCCAGAACTTTTCACCTCCCTCATAGGAGTATTCATTGCTCACAGCAATGTGGGCATAGGCACAATCGTAGGTTCCGCAGTGTTCAATATCCTTTTTGTTATTGGAATGTGTGCTCTGTTTTCCAGAGAAATCTTAAACCTGACCTGGTGGCCACTCTTTCGGGATGTGTCCTTCTACATTGTTGACTTGATCATGCTGATTATATTTTTCCTGGATAACGTTATCATGTGGTGGGAAAGCATGCTTCTCCTCACAGCTTATGTTGGCTACGTGATTTTCATGAAGTTCAACGTGCAAGTAGAAAGGTGGGCGAAGCAAATGATAAGTCGCAATAAGGTTGTCAAGGTGGCAGCGCCAGAAGTTCAACCAAAGGTTGGTGGCGATGGTGTTTTATTCAGTGTTTTTCTTGATCATTGTTCTGAATCACTATGTTTTGGAGATCTTCAACTTCTTTTAATGTGATGATGTTCTGGGCTATGGGGAACAGCAGATTGCATTCTGTGATTTTGTGATACCAGGCTAACATGGCAATATAAAAAGTAATGTGGGGGCATTCTTCTAGATGTCTATCAAGTTCCCCAGCTACTCGCTTCAGAATAAAAACATTTGTACATATAGGTTACATAAGCACCCAGAACAGATTTAGAACTTATTTGCCTTTTTATTTTCAGGAAACTAGGTTTAACGATTCTGTGAGCAACTTGATATTCATGGGAAAGCATGTGCTTTCTAGCTTTTGCCTGTTAAATGGGCACATGGCAGTTATCAAGAACCATCTCTTTAAAGGTTGTTGCCCAGGCAACAGTTTGGGCCCAAAGTTCTGGCTATTAGAGTGATGATGACTATTTTCCTTCTTTTTTACTTTATTTTGTGGTGATGGGACTTGAACCCACATCCTTTCACTTGTAAAGCTAGCACTCTCGTCACTTGAGCTCTACCCTCAACCCCACTGCTATTTTTCTTGCTCTATACAATCATATTTCAGGTTATCTGACCAAGACCTAATTAACATCCATTTTAAACAGTCATTGGCCAGCCCTGATTCCTGCTTCTGTATCATAGAGGCCAGTTTTGCCCACCCTAGAAAACATGACCCAGTATGTTTCCACAGTAGAATTTGGTAGAGTTTTAATGAGAGTAGTGACCACTCTATTGCTCAGTTGGGAAGCAGATTGATAAAGAACTTAGAAGAAAATGATTTGAAAAAATGTGAATTAAAAAATAATAAATAAACAAGTAAATTCTGTAAAATTTTGAGCGTTATCATAATGCAGTCTGGTATATATCTTAACAATAGAATATCATCTTTGAATATGACTTTAAACAGAAACCCCAGATACTGTATATATGCAAACTTCATGCTATTATTTGAGGAAATTCTCATGTATATAAAAAACAGCTGTTTGAGTAGGTGTAAAAGACTTTGCACATAAAGAAAGAAAAAAGATTCTACTTCTAGTATACGTAATTCTTGTATAGTAAAGTTTGATAACTGTGAATTTTAGCATCCATGAGATAGAAACAGTGTCAGAACATAATTGTAAGATATAGAGAGAAGTACATAAAAGTGCCCTTTCTATGTATTACATTCAAAAGAGACATGTTGTGTATTATATTTTTTCTACATCTGTCTCAGTACATGATTATTTGTTAGAAACTGTGGTTTTAAAAATCATTTAGCAAAATATGTAGCAAACATGCATCTAGAGGTGACAAATGAGTACATATCCTTCTGGGCAAAGAACAGGACATCAGTGAGCCTCTCTCCTCGCCCTCATTCGGTAACTAAATGTATGAGCCTTCAAAATCTCTCCTCAAGCCCAAGTGGTTTGATCAATAGTCTCTGCTTCTTGTAATCAGAATAATAGGTTAATAAATTACTATTAAGGAAAGCCATATTTTTAGGGGCAAAGAAATAATTTTGTGACTTATAAATGACTTGGGCACATCGTCAGTAAAAGGTCTTTCTGAGACTCCATACTTTTTTATTACACCACCGTGGAAGTTCATCAACTTGGACGCGCCTTGTGGTTGAAGGTTACGCTGACTGCATTTACCAGAAAGGAACTTGTAGAATAATCCAATGGGGTATGTAGAATTGCAAAAGGACTTTGAATTCTGATTTTAGTGGGAGTGGGAGTGCATTTTGGAAATAACTTTTTAAATGCAGGCTACAGACTACATTTAATCAGTTATAAAACATGCATTAAAATAGTCCTAGCAAGATTACTAGCTGCTCGGTTAGATGACTGTCGTATTCAATGACTTCTAAGTCAGCAATTCCAACTGACATTCTTTAAGAGTTGTCATTGAAATCCATAAGTTTGTGCTATGCTTAATACTCTTTTATAATTTAGAAATTCTGAATATCACATACCTTAAAAAGAATACATGTCTTATTATTAACTATTTCTCCTGTTTCTGATCCCCCCACAGATGTGTTCATTGTATTATTTTAAAATGCCAATTAGTTAGAATTCATTCCATTTAATTAGTATTGTTTCTTTTGGCATTCAAAAACTATCTAAAGTAGACTTTCTTTGACATTCAAAAACTAACAGAAGTAGACAAAGCTATGTCTTGCTGGATATTCCCCACAAATGCCAGAACTGTTTTGCATGGTTAGATGGACTAATATATATGATTTCTCTTAGGAATTCACTTTTGAATCTTTGCTGGAATACTTTCTTCAGTAATTACAACTTTTATCATCTTCCTGAGTACAGAATCTTACAGAGTTTAGTTCTGCACTTCCAGAACATAAGGTGTCCCAGAGTTGGGTCCTTGAGTGTGGCCATGTAGTCCTATGGTCTGCAGAATTCATTTCTGGCCATGTAACCCACCTCTCCTATAGAAGTCAGAGTTCTGGTATCATTGTAATACTCAGAAAAAAGACCCTAAGACGAATGTGACCATCAGTGGAATCTTTATGTGTTATGCAAGAATTTGGAAAGTGTAATCCTGAGCATCATTTCATATAAACCTGCTTCATTGAACAATTATGCATGGGAATTTAAGAAAGTAGAAGAAACAGCTATAGGTGCTCTCATACAAATTATCAGATGTCCCTTGTCACAGAATTGTAACTGCTGACTATAAGCAATGAACTATCTTTTAAACTACTTGCTTCATAAACAAGTTGAAATCTTAATTTGATTCTACTGTGGGTGATACATGGCATGAGGCAACTCTGAAGCATGAAAAATGTGAACTGACATTTTATTTTCATCAAGCAATATATGCTATCCTGTGTGTGCTTTTTGAAATTTATTTTTATTATTCCTCAATGATACCATTATCATTGTATTGAAAGGTGGAGGACAGTTATATGTGGAGAAACCCTGGGACTTTGACTCAGGGAGCAAAAACTTTTAAGCCCAGCTGTGTAAGCCAGTAGCCTCAGAGAAGCCATTTAAACTCAGTGAGCCTCAGTTTCCTAATTTGGAAAATTAGAAGAATAGTATCTACATTATAAAGTTGGAAAAACCATTAAGTGGATGGTAAGCATCTAACATAGTTCTTGGCAAGTATGAATTGTTCAATAAATGCTGGTTCCCTTCTTTTATGTTCTGTTCTTTAATGAAAAGTAAATCAGGATGAATTATTTCAGATTTGAGAATTGCAAAGCATTCCTTGAAGATTAAATTTCCTCCAGTGAATCGTTGAGTTAAGCAGGCTGTTATACCCTTTAGAGACTTACAATATTTGTCATCTTACAATATTCATTAGCCCTAGTTCCTATATAGTGAATATAGACAGTTTAAATATTATCATAAACTCCCAGGAAACCTCCAAGCACTTTTTTTGTCCTGAGTTTTTATTGTGAAGGATTTTGTTTCAAATAAGAATATCATTTGCTGGGGTTCAGAAATAATCTATACTAAGAGGAGACTTCTGTACTTATAAATGATAGCACCATCATCTTAAAACATCTTTCTAGCTGGTTAGGAATAAATTTGAGTCATGAAGGATGAGAGTCAGTTGAATTTCAGGAATCCAACACATTTTGCTGAGTGCCTGGCCAGCCTGTTAGGATCCTGCTGATCTGTTTGGTGCTAGGCTGTTATTGGCCTAGAAAGCAGCTGTCCATGGTATTTAACTTCTTAGACTTGGCACTGTAATCTGACAGCAAGTCAGCCAGGTTCTAATAAAGGAAATGATCTCAGTAAAGATGCTTAAAGCTGGATCATTGGAGAGGCAAACTCTTTAGTAAGGTGTACCTTGCTTTATTTAGTTTATGTGTTCCTGTGTTTTGTGGTTCAAATTGTTATTAATATTCTTGGGAAAGTCAGAATAAAAACAATATACATTAAATATGCCTTGTACAATGAAGTAGTTCTTCTAATGTAGCAAATCATTAATAATTTCACTGTGTACACATGTGCAGTCCCAAATTTTTTTCAGATTCAGAATCTATTATAAAACTGAATTCATTCCAAGCTTACTAAATAAATTGGAAAAATTAATGTACAAAATTCAAAGAAGACAAGATAATCCTTGTATACATAAAAAGTATGTATACTGATTGTCAGACTAACAATCTTGCTAGTTTAAAAAAATGCATCTGCATTCTTTTCATGAGAGTTTTATCTAAAACCAAAGAATGTTGAAAATTAAAGAGTGGAAAAATGAAACGTGTAAAACCAAATAAAGGGGAACCAAAAGAAAGAAAATTTAGACATCAAAACTCTTACCTAGATGCCTGTGAATGTGGTATGTATGTTTAATGGGGAATAGTATGCTGATATTTTTCTTATTTTGTTTTCCTCTACTAACGTATCACTGTGTAATTCAGGGAGTGAAAAGAGAATTTTGAGAGACCCAAAAGAACCCAATAGATTTTAATAAATTAACTTTAAATTGCCCTTGATCATTCCCCCTGGTACTCTAGGTTTCCCTGGCATGGAGGTGAACTAAACTTTGTGAATTTTTCTGGCAGTATAGAAAACCAGAGTCACCACATCCTTTCCTGTCCTCTCCCCTCCCCTCCCCTCCCCTGCCCTTTCCTCCTCTCCCCTCCCCTCCCCTCCCTGCCCTCCCCCCTACCCTCCCCTCCTCTCCCCTCCTTCCCTTCCCTTCCCCTCCCCGGCTCCCCTCCTGCTTTTCTCCTTTTCCCTCTCTCTCTCCTTCTCCCACCCTTTTCCTGTCTCCTTCCCTCCCTGTCTGTGAACATGACCATCAATTGGGATTTTGACTTGAATAAAGAATAATATTTTTATGTTAAGATAATCCCTGGATGTTGGGAGCACAAGAAACACTGTAGTATGTATTTGGCATATTTTGTTTCATTCTTTTTTTCCCCCAGTACCAAGTATTGAACTTGCAACCTCATGCTAGCCAAGCAGGCACTTATGCCTCTGAGCTAAACCCCT